TATATTCCATACTGAGATAGTTGATTTCATCATTTCGACCAGGAACATCCCATAGTGTGTATTGCATACCTTGATAAGGTGTAATTTTAGTTGTTGTTTCACCGACACCTGTTTCAGCTACTTTCTTTCCAAGTAAACTATTAAGCATAGTAGATTTGCCAGTAGATGTGATACCAAAAAGACCAATATTGATGCCAACCATTTTCATTGGTTCAGTTTTTTGTGCCAGTTCTACGAGAACTCTTTGATGTTTCTTATCTTGTCTACCAAGTTCTTCAAATGAATCAATCTTTTTTTCTTTCATCTGTTCAAGTAGTTCATTAAACCGTTGCAATAGTTCACTATGTTGTTCACGATATTGATGCAGTTCTTCGCGTAATGCAGCATTTTCTTCTCCACCTCCGCCACCTATGACAAAGTATTGTTAACATAGAATTGTTTGTTTTTGAACGGAGTATTAACTTAGCCTAAGTCTTTGTAGAAAATTGTCAAGAAATGATTGATTTCAATAATGTACATAAAGCTCTGAGCAATAAAATAGATCAATTGGAATTTCTAATCATCCAAAATCTAGTTACAACTCCTCGAAATTCTCATAAACATGTGAAGTGGGAAATCCATTGCTTTGAGCATCAACGTTTTCAAAAGTCTTTCTACATCTACTTTGCTAGAATTTACGAAATTTATCATTCACATATGCATATATTTGTACAGTTGACAAATTTTCCACATGGAATTAACTGGAGCACATCATATTACGAAAAAATATGTTTCGGCATTGACTAGAAAAATTGATCAAATCGAAATCTAGTCTGAGAAAGATTCATCTACCATCAATACATAAGCTCCGTCTATTTTTACCCATAGCGGTACATTCAAAACACATTCTATGCTCAGTCAACTTTGTTCGGAGCGAGCTGTTAACACCTGCACAGTTTCATACTATAACAACTCAATATTCTTACTTTATCAAGTCAAATTAAGAAATTATAAAATCGCATCTACTGTATGTACCCGTTCGTTGATACCCATCGTTTCTAACTGTAGAAAATTCGATTATCTACCTGAACTTGATCCACCACGACCAAATATATTGCCAATGATATCAATTGGTGCGGACGTGCATCCTCTGATAATTTTATTCATAGTACACGGATATGTTGAACGAAAAACTGAAATTGATCAAATGTGATTGTTTGCAAGTAAATATTCTCTGAAATACAGGAACAGTATAATATTGTATTGAATGATAACCGTGGATTATAACCTAGTCTCACTCTTTGCGTTGCGTATGTGCAATAAAAAAATACTGTGTTTCTTTTCTCTGCGGAATGTTTTTACTCTACTCATTCAACTGACTAATTATTACTTTCTTTTCCTTGCATACAACCAGGCAATGATGTATGTATGATAAATACGAGAATATTAGTCATTGAATATTGACGTTGAATAAACATGAGAACCGAGCCTATTCATGTTACCTGACTCATTAGGTATTTATTGAAAGTTGTAAATATAAGCAGCATAGTATAAATCAGCGTTGAGTCAATCAGGTCATGCTATCTATTTCATATATGATTCATATTTTAGTGTATTTTTCTGTGAATGACACTGAGTTGTTTTTCAAGAGGGCAATTGAAGAATGTCTTACGATGCAGTACTCGGTGTTGTCGAAATGATTACATTGATGTAACACTAAGTATCACATATTGAAGTGTTATTGTTTTAGACAAAAACATTCGATCGATTTTCAGAAGCGTCACATGCACGAAAAGCATGTAGTATATAGATGCTAATTAAAAAGCAGGAATTTATCTCGATAAATATAAAAGTAATCCAAGTAATACAATCATAAAATTCTTTCATCTTTCAGTTTCTTTTTCTAGAAAATAATCAAGCGATGATGTACATCAAAATGTAAATTAATAGAATGATCTATAAACTAAGAAAGTGACACAACATATTCTGTATATACTATCAACAGGGAATTTAAAAGTGCAATGTTATCATAGTTGATATTGTGTGCATGATCTGTCGACCAATTATCTTATCAGAAATGTGTTTGCCTGATTTAAATTAAGAAATGATTATTTTCTATATCATCTTGAATAAATGGAAACTAATATACCAATCACAGAATATCATGATGACCTCTTCTAGCTATTCCAACAATAAATGCTGTCAAGCAATTGCAAAGATTCGTCTCTTGGTACACGAATACTTTTTAAGTGAAAGTTTTCAGATATCATCATGCTTGGTCTCAATACATACTTCGGAATTATCCTCTCGAATCCTATTGATATGGTATTGATCAAAAAAATTACAGTACGAATAATCATGTTCGATCGGTACTATATTTTCAACAATATTAGCCATAATTATCTTCAGTATGCGTTTCTTGTAAATTTTCATAGATAGTAATTTATACTTCTAAACCTAAGATATCTAAGGAACGGAGCATTTTTGGTTAATGAAACTTACGCATAAAATATCGTATCATCATCGAAATAAATCAATTGAAATAGAGAGAAAGAGAAGTGAATAAAATATGTTCAATTATATGTGTAGATATTTTGTTGAGGAGCGAATACAGATAGCCATCATGTAAATTTCTAGTTATTTTTATTCGTCATCTGATAGGTTTTTTTTGTTTTTCTTCCTTCTCTCTTGCTGGTATTTTTCTTCTTTGAAAAATAAAAAAATAGGAAAATTTATTCCGAAATAACCATATGGTATTGTAAATCTGAAAACAGATATTCAATCTCGTCGATAATATTTTGTACTTTTTCTTCAAAAAAACAGTATTCCTATTGTCTTTGTTTAGATGGAACGGTTTCCAAATTTTGAAAGAAAAATCTCTCATTATCTATTGTGAAGATAAGAAGGAAAAAGCATTGAATTGAAAGGTTTCAAGTGTTCGATATTTGTTTTGTTTGGTATCTACACGTATTGATTGGCGAGAGTGATGAAATAGGTGCAGTATATCTCACATTATTGATTTTAAGATGAGTGTTATGAGGATTTCGATCTGACGCGAGTCCTTGTATCACACGATGAATGTTCTGTTTTAATAAAGTATACTGATATGGGCAGCCATTCGGATTCCTATATATAATTCTTGGTACTGGTCGCATTATGAAATATCGTGTCTTTTCATCGCGCATAGACAATAGCAATCTTTTCCCGTTCACTTTTTTTGCCATTTCTGACGTCAAAGGGCCACTGTATCATATATTGACCATCATGACACTTTATGTATTCTTTTCATTCTGGTAGGATAGTATATGCTCATCTTCAATTAGGTTCAATTATCAAGCTATCAATTACTGAGATTATTGTTTTTTTTGTTTGCTCTTTTTCACTTTTTACAAGATTCATCATTCTCTCATCCCGTGTTAATTGTTTTCGTTTTTGTTAATTATCAGAATGCATTAATGAATGCACTGGTAAACTGTAATTTGTGCTAATGTGGTGATTGGCAAATGATTTTCTGACTAAAAGCAGATTGAACAGTTGACATTTTTGTGATTTGCAGTATATCATTATATTTACGATACAAGATATAGATGCTTATTATTAAAACAAGACATAACAATAATCGAGATATTCTAATATTTGATTAAAGTTCGAGATGTAACCTGATCTTTTGTAAATTTTCAGAAACTGGTGAGAAGGTTCACCATAGTAAGCCAATCAGGAAACATTTGGATGTGTTTCGAACTGACGAAAAATACATGATCCACTCCTTTCAAGCCGAGACTTTTTATTTCAGAGCGAATCTGTTGTTGAATAGCCGTTCGCTCTTCTTCATCCACTTTATCGAATTTGTTGAAGACAATATCATATCGTAATCCGATCTCATCCAACAACTTCATCATACTTGAGTTTTCTTTTATTGTTGCTTGAATAAGAATCAAACGTCTTGTTAGACCTTTGAAGAATGAGATATATTCCATACTGAGATAGTTGATTTCATCATTTCGACCAGGAACATCCCATAGTGTGTATTGCATACCTTGATAAGGTGTAATTTTAGTTGTTGTTTCACCGACACCTGTTTCAGCTATTTTCTTTCCAAGTAAACTATTAAGCATAGTAGATTTGCCAGTAGATGTGATGCCAAAAAGACCAATATTGATGCCAACCATTTTCATTGGTTCAGTTTTTTGTGCCAACTCGATGAGAGCTTTTTTCGCTCGCTCATCTTGTTGAGCAAGAGACTCGAATGAATCAATCTTTTTGTCTTTTAAACCATCGACTAACTTATTAAAGCTTTTAAGAAGTTCAGTATGTTGTTCACGATATTGACGCAGTTCTTCACGCAATGCAGCATTGTCTCCTCCACCTCCACCACCTATGTCAAAGGTTTATTATCATGCAATATTTGTATTTATTCGAATACAGAAAGGCCTTGAACTGTCTTTCAAGAATATCAACAAAAATTATGTGAATTAGTCAAATCAAGTGCATTGTTTCCCACTATAAAATGAGTAGATAATGACTCTATTGATATGAGAAATTATAATAGACTTTTCAAAAAGTATCATTCTCGTTAAATCATATTGATTAGAATCACGGAGAATATGATATATGTAAGGAAACGAAAAGAAAGAATTTCGAACTAGGATGTACCCTAGACTTTTTTTCATAAGTGGCACATTTGAAAAGGATATTGAAGAAATGGCCGTGTTGTAAAAGTGAATTCAAATTTAGGAGGTTATACATTTTGATGAACACTTAAGAGGGAAAATATTACACAGAAAATGTTGATTCTGTTTTCAAAAATAATCCTATCTCTGAAACAAAGACATGATGAAATGAATTCTTTTCAGTTTTTTCATACCTTGTTGAAATTTATTGTTGATTAATAGCTGAAATTCAAAGATCTTGTGCATTTAAAGTATTTTTCATTTACTTTAATCAACATGTTTGAACGAAAAGAAAACTCTTCGGATAATTTATGTATTTTGCTGTAGTTGTCAAATATGCTCAAACTACTTTGGATGACATTATCTAGATAACTAGCCTCACTATCTGATTATTTTATAGTTAATTAAAATCAATGCATTTGACTTAACGATTTTACATAGGATGAAAGTGATTTGATACACATACAGCTAGAGGTGTTCCGTTGTTCGATAGATAAATGCATCTCCATATATTAAATTCAGTTTTCACCCTTCTTTAGATCGACAGAGCTCATCGTATGTCAAACAAGTTATCAACTGCTGTGTAGTATAATACTTTGTAACTAAATAATTTTGTTTTAAGAAATGAGACAGAAAAGCTTTCAAGCGAACTCTTTTGTAGGTAACTTCATGATATTCATTATTGATGACTGCAGAGAATTTGACTATTATACCTGACTTTGAACGACCACCATCCAACAAACTCTGTATCACTTGGGTTGCTACAGGTATCCACGGTAGGAATGCCGCCATATCTAAATATATAATGGATTGAAAACTGAAATTTACCGAATGTAATTGTTTGCTAGTAATTGTTCTCTGTTATATAGGAGCAGTATATTGTTCTATTGAAGAACAACCGTAGATTATAACTCCATCCTACGCTTTGCGTTTCGCATGTACAATAAAAAAAACACCACATATCTTTCCTCTGCACGATGGTTTTACTCTACTCATTTTCTATCGTTGACTCTTCTTGCTCGCCTACCATATCATTCGATTGACTAATTTTTACTTTATTTTCCTTTTCATACAACCAGGCAATGATGTGCATGTAATAAATACGATAATATTAGTCATTAGATATTGACATTGAATAAACATAAGAACCGAGCCTATTCATATTATTTGACTCATCAGGTATTTACTAAAACTTGCAAAATAAAAGTAAAATAACACGAATCAGAATTGATTCGATTACTCATCAAGTGAAATTCACTCAAGGCATGGAAAAAACCTATTCTGAGCATCTGCTACGCTTCTTCAGAGTTGAATTGTTTCTTGAAGTGGCAAAGCACACCCTTTTATGTATACAAACAGAATAACAAAATCCAATCAATCTATCACTTCAGCGTTGCATTAGTTATTGTATTTTATAGACACGAAACATTGCATTCTAGATCATCTTTCTATTTCTCGCCTGAAAGGTATCCAATAGAACTCACAGAACACTATTCGAGAATCTAAATCTTGCATGAAACAAATGATCTGATCTGATTAATTCAATTATGATTCGTGCCCATCTGGTTGTCTGTCTCACGTTTCAACTTATAACGTACGATTCAAAAGTAATGACAGAAAATGTCGATCCGTTTACTTCTTCATCAACATAGTTCTGTGAAGAAACTTTTTTTTTATCATTCAACGGCAAATTTTCTTTTCTATCAAACTCTTTATTTAGTATTTTTATTAGACCGTCACAAAACTAGAATACCATAAGAAAAAATAGAGAAATTCTATAAATCAACTGAAATACTAATTGAAACAGTTTTGGATTTATTGACAGAAAAAGTATATGAGGATAATTGGAAAGCTGAAAATTAGTAAAATCATATTACAGTCTATTGTTCACAGAGTTAGAAAGAATTTTTGTTACAGGTGGTGTGCTAGATTATATCCGACTGTTAAATAAAGATTTTTTTATTCTTTATATTTTTTCTAATGAAAAAATAAAATTTCAGTTCTCTTTTATTGATAGTTGGCAGCTGCTGGTATATCTACTACAAATATTTTTTCTTTCCTTCGTGTTATTTCATTTATGAACTTATGACAAAAGCTTTGAAAGAAGAGAACATTTCCTATTGAATGGTAAAAGAGGTTTCTTCCAAAATCTATGTCGATGAAGAAGTAAAAAAGTCAACATTTTGTGCCATTACTTTTACATTGTATGTTATTTAATCATGAGTCATATAGCATGAATAGGCTTCATGATTGAGTTGTTTCGATATAAACTATCTCATGAATAATTTGATGGTATTTATCGAACGTTGATATTTTTCAGCTAGGATATGAAAAAAGTAATCGTTACTCAATTTGATGAGATATGTATCAAGCAATATTAGTCAACGATAGAGAACGAATAAAGAAAAAGAACAAGCAGAACGAAGAAACATGTGTTGTTATTGTATAAACGACATGCAAAACAAGAGACGCGAATATATATAAAATATTCATTAGCCAATAGACAATTGTGATACACTTCTAGATATATTTATATCAATCGATCTTACCCTTGCAAATATACAGTCATTCGATCAATTTGAATTTCCAAACCAACACTTACGTGCACTATGGCTGCTTTCATCAATGTGACATCATGGAGTGTTAAAATCGTGGAACTATTGATGAATACAATCGGTACATATGAAAGTAAGTGACCCGTTTTTCAAGACTCCAAATAATAGGTATCTTTGAGTGAGACAAATATTATGCATGAAACTCGCTAGAGAAATTGGATTTGTTCATCATAAACAAGAAGAAAAGATTTTTTGCTCAGTGATCCATTCAATATATAAAATTATCAAATAAAAAAGTAGCTAAGAAAATTAAACTATTCATATAGGTTGTCTTCATCTATCTCGAGAAAATGTCATGTTGCACGAACAAATGTTACAAATAGATCAGCTCACTCAAGAAAATCACATGTTACGTAATGAAATAGCTCGAGTTCGTCAATCGAATCGAGAGAATGTGATAGTACATGAACAAATCTATGAACATGATCCACAATCTGAAGACAATCACATAAGAAGAGATATGGTAGTAGAAAATTATCCGCA